AACATCCATCAAAGAGCAGTTAATTTCAAGCTAAACGTTCCAACAGGAAACTCACGCTGCCAGTGGTCACCGTCCAGATCCCCGGTTCCGACACGGCCCGAGCGGGTCCCGTTACACTCGCTAACAGCAGCAGCAGCACCGCAGAGGAACACAGTCCAAAGCTTTCTCGAACCGGACCTACAGAGCCCGCCATTAGAACCAACAGGAAGAAGGAACCAACAGCCCTGACGCGACAGCTCACAACAACTAGAGAACTTCCGGGTTTGTGATCTTCTACTTCTTTCCTTTGATTGATGGATTGAAAACAACTTTTAGGTGCATACCGCCACCTACTGTACAAGAGTGTGTATCTTTAAAGTTCCACCTACTATATTCTATTTGTTTCATTCTGTGTTATGTAAAAATAAAAACAATTCTTTATTAATTACCCTAATTTCCTCCCTATCTCCATCTGTCCCTAAAATTCCTTTAATACTCCATTATTTCCCTTTTTCCCTAATTACTTCCCCCATCCTCTCTCTTTCAGTCTTGTATAAACAAAAACTAATTCAAGTAAGTGTGCCCAGTCTAGTGGAAATTATCTCTTTCCTTCTGCTTCTTTCTCCATAATTTTTAAGTATTATAGATTTTTGAATCTTTGAATCTTCTTACTTTCTCATCTTCAATATATATATTTTGCCATCTTTCAGGGTTTTTTTTCAATTTTTTTTTACATTTATTTACCTTCCCTTTTCCCAAATGGAATCTGGGTCGTAATCAGCCTTTTTAGCAAGATTATCTGCTGTTTCATTTCCTCTCACCCCTTCATGTGCTGGTACCCAACATAACTGCACATCTATTCACATCTAAATAACCTGAATAAACTCTGATGAATTTCTAATAAAAGGTCTTTCCTATGGTTTCCTTCTGGTTGAATGCTTTCTGTTGCTTCTTTTAAATCTGTGCAAATCAGCACCCCATCCGGTCGAACCTCCTCCACCCACTGTAAGCTAATAATTATTCCAACCATTCCTGCTGTGTGTACAGACAGAAGGTCCATTCATTCTCTACAGATACATATATTAAACTCTGGAATGTATATCGCTATTCCCACATTTCCCTTTTTAGTTTTTGAACCATCTGTGTACATTTTCAAATAACAATAATACAAATGTCTAATATATAAGCTAGTTTTAACCCTAACTTACTTATGTTTCCATTCTCTTTTCATTCCATGTAGTTTCAAGTCAACCTTTTTTTCTCAAAACAACCGACTCATTGACTGGAATGCAATCCCTCACAACAAGCACGCTTGTAGTGACAGTAAAGAGGAAAAACTCCCTTTTAACAGGAAGAAACTTCAAACAGAACCCGGCTCAGTGTGAGCAGCCATCTGCCGAGGCCGACTGGGGTTCAAGGAGACAGAAGCAGAGATACAAAATGCAACTGTAAAAGGCGGCCCCGTCCAGGAAACACACAGCCAGGCAGACGAGCTCCGAGCAAACTCCCATGTCAGAGGATGAAGAGAGAACATCCAGCCAGTCACAGACAGAGAAACAGGACTACACTGGAAAACAGGCCGATCTCAAACATCTATAAACAAAGGTCTTAATGGCAGCAGCCTCGGCATATGAAACTTTCTCTGTTATTTTTTATTCTTTGTGCTTTTCTTGCTTCCCTTTGTATTATGCACCCACCATATGCTGCACTATGTTCTCCTCCACAGTTACAACATTTTACTTTGGCATCTTTGTCACGTCCTGCACACCATATTTTCCCTTTGCCCTTATTTGCCACATGTCCCATTCTTTGACAAACAAAACACCTTATTGGATTGGTAATGCATTCTCTCACCCTGAAGTTTATCTGCTCAGATTCTGGAACAACTTAATCAAACTGCAATATTATTGCCAGGGTGTCTTTACCAACTCCATCTCTTTTGTGTTTTATCCTTCTTGCATCAATAACTTTCCCTCCTTTAATTTCTTGTTTGATATCATCCACTGTCTTGTCAAGTGGGACTCCTGTAATTACTCCTCTTAATCTTGCAGCTGCATCGGGAATGTTTTGATTCTTTTACCAACAAGAGTTTTCATTTTGAGAATCTGTTCTTGTTTTTCACTTACAGCATAAATTAATATCTCACAGTTCTTCAATAGCCTAGCTGACTAAATTCATCCAATTTGATGTAAGTGTCCTCCTTCTTGTTTAAACTCAACTGTCACTCTCCACTCCTCTTCCCAATTTGCTCGCTCTCCCTGCTTTCCGGCCCTGCGTTTGTTTTAGTCTTTTTGCTTTATTCCTCTCTTACCACACTCCCATCTGACTAACTTCTATCTCTTTCCTGTCTATGCTTTATTTCTTGTTTTCTCTGTATAGACCTTTACATCATCTACTCCATTTCCTCTCTGTTAAAGAGACTATTTTCCCCTTATAAGGAAGCCATAAAGCTACATTTAGAGTACAGCTTATGCAATCCACCAAATGTGTTCAACTCATAAAGACTTCTCACTCGGCTCGCAGCCCATCCTCAAAACAGGCGTGATTTAGACTTAGGGATGATGAACTGAACATCAAACTGACGGTTCGATGAGCCTATCGGACACAAATTGGATCAGATTTCTGGCATTAATTGTAGAGGTTTATGGGAAAGTGTTTCTTTTCATTTTTAATGAACAGACGGTCATGTTATTCTGAATTAAATAGTTATAGGATTGCTATAGGATTAAGCTGATGAAGTACCTAAGTTCCCTTATTTGCTATATTCTGCGTCATCTAGCTAGCTATTATCTGCAGATTTTGCTATTAACCTTAACTTTACTCTTGAACCATTGCATTGGTGTGCTTTGCCTGTTTTGTCTCTTAAAGTGAGCAACAGATAGAATGAAGAGTTTGGATTGTTGCTTCCTGTAAACCTGGTTCTGGATCTGCTGGTTTCTCTTTACTATTACCACATTCTTGCTCAACCGGCACTGCATCAAGTCAGAGCCATTACAGGACACACTCCTTCTGGATGAGCATGTGGCAGAAGAAGATATTTGCTTGCATTGTGTTGTTGGCTCTACAGCAATCCCTTCACTAGGGATTTCCATGCATGCAGCAACAGTTAAGAGGAAAAATATTTTTTTTACCAATGAAAAAACTGTAGCACATTTTGGCTTACATAAAAAGCCCTCTGCTGATGCTTCCTGGAGGTTCAAGGGCACATAGGCAGACCTACACGAAGAACATAGAAGTAATTAACATAATGAACAATCATATCTCTGAAATAAGATGGAGCTTGGCCATTTAAGCCTTTATATGTGAGAAAGAGGATTTTATATTCTGTTCTGGATTTAACAAGAAGCGAATAGAGGAAGGCTAAAACAGGACAAATATGATCTCTCTTTTCCATTTTCATCATAACTCTGGCTGCAGCATTTTGGATCAGCTGAAGGCTTTTGCCTATAGTTTGTTGACTTCATGACTGTAAAAAATGCATGGACTGGTTTCTCAGCATCACCCCTGGACAGGACATTTCTAATTTTTGCAATATTCCGGTGATGAAAGAAGGAAATTCTAGAAAAGTCTTTGGTATGGGATTTATATGACAGGTCCTCATCAAAAAGAAGAGTTTTCACTTTATTACCTGAGATCAATTTAGTCACACCCAGATGAAAGGGCTGACTAATCATTTTCATTTTTTCCAGACTCTGGTCCAAAGACAATAACTGATTTTTTGTCTGCATTCAGAAGCAGAAAGTTAAGAGTCCATCCATCCATCCATCCATCCATCCATCCATCCATCCATCCATCCATCCATCCATCCATCCATCCATCCATCCATCCATCCATCCAT